TTATTTTTGCGGTCACAACGACGAAGATGGTTACTGCCATGAAATTGAAACGTTATATTTATGAGATATTCTCGTAAAAATAACGGAAAAAAATCATAGAGCTAAATAAAAATAAATTTTAAATGAATTGCATACATCATCCACATGTTGTGAAGATTATAGATTCACAGCTCGGTTCACCGTAAAGAGATAGTAGGTTTACATACCGTCAGAAAGTCAAGATAACAACAACATTAAGTTTGTACAGTCACAAACAACTATCAAACTTCTACAGTTATCGTAGATAAAGTATACTTTTTATAACAATCTACAAAAACAACACAACAGCCATCACCAGCCAGCATATCATGGTATGCTTTGACATAAAAAATTCGCAATCTCGGTATTGCAACATTCCCGTTCTGAAATTAAGATGGTTAGCGAGTAGTGATATAATCGCAAATGGAAACCGGCTCACCTAAGACTCTGGTATGATGCAACGTCCACTATACTCGGTGAAAGTCACAAACACTCAAGACAAGAATACGACACGCGTGTATGGGCCGCGGCCCCGGAGTCAACTAAACCGATTGACAGTAGCGTCGGGGATTGGGTACCTATTGCAAGTTTAAGATAATAAAAGCACGCAGAAGGTCGGCTTCAACCCAACTAGTTTTTATTGACGATTGGCGTAAGCAATACGGCCAAAAGCTGTAACACGTACTCTGATCTGTATTCATAAAGTCGCATTTAACTAACACAAACTCCGCATTTGATCTTTGATTGAACAAATACGTCTTTGCATTACTAACGGATATTTTTATTGTCTCTTTGTTAGTGATTGCAATCAGATTCCGATTAGGGCTTTCAATACCGGTATCCCGTAATACCGCAATCACGGAATCCCGTAATCACGGATATATATTTAGCCGTTTTTAAATCAAACATCAATATTTGTATTATTGCGGTTTGTTAAATAATTTACGATGTTTATCTACGACAGAAAAAATATAGCATTTATGAGATTTCTTTAAATCCTGATCCGACAATGTGCTTACACGTAGATGAATCAGAGCGCGCCGGATCATTATTGTGCAGTTACGTAATAGTATTGGTATTGGTTTCTTTTGATTAGCTTGCTGTATAAGATTTTATTGCGACTAGATAGGTGATCTTAAATATAAACATTTCCGTTTGCAAAATCCCATATAGCTTAATTTTTTTTTCAATTAACTCAGAAAAACAAATTGTTTTGTGCCGTGGTTCGTGACGGCATCTTCAATACTATGGGTTGTTATTTCATGGGTATTATTCATAACTGTCACGCGAGTGACATGACAAAGTCGACGTCTACGTATGCTCAAAGGCAAGCCAGACACTTAGGCAATGCATTTTACTATTTCTATGAGATTTTCTTGTTTTGGGAATTTTTGGAAATGCCATGAATTTGGAGATTGAATCGTCGAACTCATTATTCTTTATAACCATTCATGTAGCTCATATGGCTGTTTTACCTCTGTTTTCACTACTTTAACAAGGGCACCTTGGAATCTATAGGTATATCTGTTTACTTTTCATAAATTCTTGAGTCTTAAGAGGTCTTTAACTGTGTTATGTCGTTCACGACTTGTTTAATATCGGACTGCAAATACTAGAAATGCATCACCCATTTAAGGTCCACAATCAACATCTATGTTCTAAACTTGATCTACCTTTTGGCGCAATGGCCGTTCCCCTTATTACCGTTCAATCGTAGTAGGTACTACTTCAACGGAGTGCCGCGCGTCAATGTTAGTAAAACGAACAACAAATGAATGAATGATTGTTGATTGAACACGATGACATTTAATTTAATTTTCCATTACGATTCCAATTCCTAGCCCAATTATCAATCAATACCATTTTTGGTTTACTTATAAGAGGGTTAAATACGTATTAATGGTTTTATTAAAGCCATAAGTCAAAGACAGTGAAACGTGTTTAATGCAACACCCCGGTATTGAAAAATTCACGTATTTGAATTTTGATTACGAAGATATTCTTTGCTTGATTGTATGGCCATCTAGCGAATTATAACGATTTGTAACAACCTAACTTTGAATAGTTACCCTACATGTAGATTTATAAATTTAATTTCGTTAAGTTATATCATTCCAAACCGATGATATTATTATAGATAAGGATTCTGTCAAGTAAAATAGTTTTACGCAAACACTGAAACATTTTTCCATGTTTTATTGATTATGATTAGATGATTAAATTAAGACCCAAGAGAAAATTGAGCTGGGCCACGTTCACCTATCTCACTTAAGATAAATAATATGCTATGAAATAGGTACAACCGTTTCATTACGAATAGACTTAACTCATTGTGTTCATCATAATATAAAGAAAATATTCCGAACCCCTGTAAGATTCAAACGCATTCAAGGTTCTAACCTTTAGAGCAGTAGGATCATTACCCGACGAGTCACAGAAAGATTACTATCATGGCTATCTAAGGCTGTAACACGAAAGAAATCTTCCATTTAGCGAATATAGTCTCAATAAAGTACTTTCCTTAGTGCGTGCTTCAAACATTCTGTTCTTAAAATTTTACCATGGCTTTTGCTATAGAATGGAGCTACTTGGGTCCCCCCTCATATTATAACTCAAGGTTATCAAGTTGCAAGCACGATTAATAGAAGGTCATTTTAAGTATTAAATACCGTAAGTCAATTCAATACAATGTAGTCGAATTGACGGTGATTTCTGTAAAATCTTAAATAAATAGATGAATGAAATAAATGAAGGGGTTACCTTACATGAAACGATGCCCTGGCGATTGGCAAAAATGCAAATGAGCAATGGAATTCACTGTGCGTGGTTTAAGGGCCAAGGGAGATTGACTCCTGCGGGGTGGCGCCGATCCTTGGTCTGGTAGCTAGCGTCGGCTCTAATATGCGACCTGTCGATCCGTATCGGTCTTCAGAGTGCGCCACCGTAGTCATGAAGGAAAAAGGCTCAATTTTTGGCCGATATAGGGACCTAGTCCTTTTTTGGGCTTAACGAGGTAAATCGGCCCTTCTCAGAACCCGGAAGAGAGTGCCGTGGCAGTGGCGTGACCAAGGATCAGACTTATAGACTGATTTTTAATTAGACAGACTGCTGACATTCCATAATATAGATATTGTGTTCCTAATGATAGGACCCATATGGTGATCCTTTTAGCTAAAAATTTTAAAAATTCTGCTGGTTGGCACTAAATGAACTTCGGCCCTGTGTTCTATTCACAGGCCAATGAAATAAACATATGTTTTAATGGGTTCATGTTAAAAAAAATGTCCAACCACAAACATGCCATTGTACAGCTGCACTGTGATACGCAAACATATTGCCCCCAATATATGGCTGCTCTTCTGAAAATCGGCAAAGATTAGGTGGCAATAAATAGCAGCAAAGGAATAAGATATATTAATTCCCCATATTCCAAAAAAACTGTTTTAAAATGTCTAGTTTCTCCTGAAAGCAGCATTCACAGTGAAAATAAATATAGCACAAGGACAAAAGAAGCTAGAGTACATACAAGGAAAATATGTTTTTCCCATGGGAAACTATATGTAGCATGTTCAGCAGCAGTATGCAAAATTTTCTTTAAAGCAAAGTACAGAAAATTAAAAAACTTACCTAACACAAATGTTTTAAATTAAATTGTTATAACTTGCAGTAACCAATATTTCATTGACCAGTTTACTTTATTTGTACACAAACATTATTTATGTTTACAAATTAACACCACAAATTATTTTTATTAGATATGTTGTAATCAATAGTTTTTCTAAGTAAAAAGCAGATTGGGTAAAAAATTAACTAACTTACTATAACCATGCTGATGAAGCCACAGGCAAAAGCTACTTTATCATAAGAAACTCCATGTTAGGTTAGTGTTATAACTAAAACACCAGAAAAGAAAAACATTGCCCCAGAAAAAAACCCTTTTGTGACAGTTGGATACTTATAAGATTTGTATTAGCAATGTTTTAAAGTTATAAATATGCCATATACGCTTCTAATTTGGCAATACGAAAGTCAGGTCATAGTGCCTGACTTGCATTCAGTCAGGCACACTTTCTTGCCGCGGCTACACTTTGCTACAATATGTAACTAAATTTCCTCTTAAAAGGGTCGCGAAACAGGGTGCATATTTATTGTCTCCGAAATAAGAGAAATCTTTACAGATCAACTGTTCAAATCAAAGTTGATAGAAAAATAAAGAAGAGCAAGTGTGGCTTTAGAAAATGTGTGAAACACACACACACACACACACACAGAAATACCAGTTAAAATGTACAAAAGAAAGCAATCTACCAAATCGTCACCATTTTTTAGGTTTTTAATAATTTTTGAATTCATATTCTTTAATAAAATACATAATTAATATATAAAAATTCACATTTAAACCAGTACTTGATTTAAATGTGAATATTTGAAAAACTAGATGCGATAGCTGATATCTGTAAACAGATTTAGACTCATAAAATCAAAGCCAATAGTAAGAAGTGCTTGACCTTTTGTAATGCAGTTTATACATACATACATACATACTTTACACAATAATATTAAATAAAAACTGACATCGCAAAACAAAACTTAATTATAACTTAAATACTGACAAAATAATACACAAGCAGGGGTCACCAAAAATAATACTTTCTTTCTGATAAACTTAGATACATACATTACATAACAATAAAGTACAGTTCTTCTATAATTTTGTGGATTGTTAATATAAATAAGGAGTCGAAACCTAATATGGAACTAAGAGTCTCTAAACTACGAAGAAAAAAAAATAATTGTTATGTAAAGTTGGAAACACGTGATTCCAAGGATGCGATATGGATATTTCATTTACTAAATTAAATGAAACAAAAGTTAATACTAAAAACTGTAGAAACTTTGAAGCGAAATTTTGCATTTATTTAATAAATAAATTTTAGCACGTTCAGGTATGTTACAAGAATAATATTAATTTATTTTCTTACCCCAATGTGTTTCAAATAAACTGTCACTCAAAAACGAATTGTCTTTGTTTCCGCTAACTATTGCTTCATTTCACTATAATAAATAAAATTCTTTTATAGAGTACGTAGCAAAAAATTTACGATTTTCAAGAATCCACGGAAGTGAATACCAGTGGAAACAGAACCCGACCAATTTTTTTTTCTTCTGACAAATTTTCCAGTGTTTCTAGATGAGAAATACAAATACGCGGACTTCAATTAAAAAGCGGAATTTCTTACCTAATTTATCATTTAGATCTACTTTTTGATGTGTAACATCTTTCCTCTCCTTTCGCTTTCCTGCAATTTGTGGGAGTGATTTCGTAAAATGGGACGGAAGTGTGTAACAGGAAGTCGCGAAAGCGCGCACTGTTTGATTTGATTTTAGAACGTAAATTGTTCAAATGGCTTATTCCTTTTGTAATAGGTTTTATTTCTTTTTTTACTAATATGGTGAGGTTTCAAATATCACACATCATACGCGACTACTGTAAGGCTCGCTCGTTTTATACTTCCTTTTGCTTAGTTTTCATAGAAACTTTGGCGATGCGAGACGATTACGGAGCGTTCACAGTTCGTGCTTGGGCCTCTGAAAAATACGGTGGAATTCAATGATAGGGTCTGTGCGGAAATAGAATGGGATTTAGATTGGAGGGCGCTGTAGTGCATTTCTACCGTATTTGTAAGGTTTTACCCCTTTTAGACATGATTAAATACAAAAAACCGCAAGAAATCACAACAACAAACAAATCCGTATCAATACAAAACTTTGACATTTTACAGATTGCTGGGTTTAATTGCCAAATAAAAATCTTAATGTTAGAAAATTATATATTGTACATTATTAATTATAGTTCCGTTTTTCGCCACGCCCATTCTCTTTCCTCACAGACTCTACACATATAGTAATCTATGGTTCACGAACTAAAGACAATACTGAAGTTTGCAGTTCAATAGTTAATATTACAATACAATACATAACTCTTCATTTTTCACCACAGAAAACATATAACATTCAGTAAATACAAGAAGGCTGGATACAGAGCAATAATGAGCGGCCTTATCGCTAAAAGATTTCTTACAGTCGACCTTAGGATGCTGGAAATACGGCGATGTAAATAATGGCAATAAAATGTGGCTATTAGTGATAACTAATAATGATAGCAATACAAATAATGACAATAGAAACGTTACAATTATTAGCGTATTGAAGAATTAGCCAAGTGAAGAGATTCTGCATGTCTTATGGTACCTTAAGGAGAGTTCGCAAGATGAACTGCTTGTAATGCGAATGATCGACCTTAAGTGTGTTTCGTGTACAGGAGTAATGAGAGTACGATTTTCTGATGACCTTTTATAATTTATTGACAAAACAAAAAATCAAGAAATTAATTTGTTATAATTTCACATTGATAGTCTTCACGGTGGGCTACCCTAGAAATTTCTCTTTCCACCAGAAAATTCAAGTTTTACACGATTTAGAAATTAATATAAGCATTAACGTAAGTTTCTACTGGACGGCTGGCCCCCCTAGTAAAATCCTTACCCCGCTAAGGGAAAATGTTTTTAGCCAATAATCCCAATAAAATTAATGTTAGAAAGTGATAATAATATGTGGATGGGTCAGAAAATAGAGGTCACTAATGCTGTAGTGAAGTAGATTCAAAAAAGCGGAACCACGTATGTTGAAAGAGAAACACGGATCAAAAAAACGGTAATAAAAAGCAAACATTGGTACATCTGGTAACACTGCTCATACACGTGTTTTTTTTTAATTTTGGTTACCCTTTTGGGTAGGCAAAGACATGTTTGCATAATGACTGAAGAAAGAAGTATAAAATACCCATCTCTGTATTTTCTACTTCTACCCAAAAGTCAACGTCCCCTTAACATTAATACAATTTTAACAATGACTGACAAGACTGGCTTTTTGTGTTTATGTAAATATATAAAAAAATACAACATCAAACTTTATTTAATGTATGATACTTATTCAGGTAGTTTTCCAATTACAGAGCACAATGCGACTCAGTGTCGCACAATGCCGAATTATGCTAATGCTTAATTGGAACGTGAATTAGTTTTCAAATGCACCAGCAGAGTGCGCTAAGTTCAGTGTTGGAAAAAAAAAGTCAATGTTTTATTTTTAATTTTTAACACAGTTTGAATTAACTTTGATTATTTTAAAAAAAACTATGATGAAACGAAAGTTTTAATAATTTTTCAACAATAAATAATATTACTAACGATAACATATAAATAAAACATTTCGATCAATGCCAACTTAAAGAAAAAATACTTGTTAATTTTCTGTCTCTGAGTTGGTACGATTGCACGCATCACACGAAAGCATTTCTTTTGAGAGTGCTCAATTGTGCAAAGCGTTGCTGTAGTTGGAACACTCAACGTTAAGCATTATGCCGCATAATGCGCTATAATGCTGTAATTGGAAAGCTACCTCAGAGTGTCTATGGGTTTCTCTGCACCTCAGTCCTGTATCCTGTGAGCGTTTTCCATTTAGAAAAAAAAGTCGACACTGTGTTGCACTGTGTCGACGATAATATAGCAAAAACCATTCAATACTTTTCATTGGTAACACTGTTACCAATGAAAAGTATTGAAGTTACCAAGCTTTAGTTGGCATTAGATTTTTGCTATAGTATCGTCGACACAGTGCAACACAGTGTCGACTTTTTTTTCTAAATGGAAAACGCTCTGTGTTTTTCTTAGAGCATATACCACTGGAAACGCCATGGCGTTCACTCGCTGAACAAAATTTTATACCATTTTTGGTGCTGGACGAGGTACACATGCATAGCACACTAATGAAAATATGCAATACTCCCACAAACACGAGCGTCTTGTTGCTACCAACGCACACTTCAAAAATTAGATCACACAAACAAAAAAACGCACACATGCTAACAATTTTTATGTAACTATGCAATTGACACCAACACAAAATTAGGGACGTGACATTAAAAGAATGAACGATATTTGAATGAACAGTTTTTGATGAATGAACATAATGCTTGTTTATAATGAAAACAAAATATTTCATTTATAAATATCTATCTGAAAGCTTATTTATAGTTTTAGTACTTATGATTTTTATGCACAAAATTCAAAGTTTTTTTGCAAATTATACTACTGTGCAAAAAATCTTTCCAACTGATTTTGCTGTCTTTTATCGGATACCCTGCCTATATTTAATTGCTTTCACACCCTTAATAATAGCAAATGCACTATATTGTCACAAAACACTGCGTAACTAACCCAAGCTTATCCATTCTTTGTTTAATATAATGGGGATAGCGAATTATTACACTTCAGTGAATTAAAGTTATTTGTTTTACTGATAATGTTTTCTTCAGTGGTTTAAGAATCAATAATTTTATCACGTGTCATTAATTAGAAAAATACTTCAATGATTCAAGTTTTCGGCAAAGATCATTCCCATGCTTTCAACGAGTGCTTCGCTAGCGTACGCTTAATCCAAATCGATAAAAAAATATAAACCTATCTATTTCAGGAATCTGTCGATTCAAGTCGAGCAAAAACAGCGACACGGCCGTAACATCCTTATCTCGAAACAGTTCAGGCCATTTTCAACCCCCTATAACTTCGTTTTCGATAAAACTGTGTGAAAACACAGTTACTGAAAAGTAAACAAGTAGGCATTGTATAAACTCGGTATATTTAAAATTTCATTGAATTAGAGCCAGTAGTTTAAGAATTATAATTAATCAGTTTCATAATTTTGTCACTCACTGACTGACCGATCATCAAAACTCTAAGGCACTTCCAGCAGACAAAGAAGTTTTAAATTTATAATACAGTTAGTGTTTACTGTATAAATTAAGGAAAAAATAATATATTTTGCTATTTCAGCTCAGTTTTCCGGATATACTAATTGCTTAAATAACTTTTTAATATGATATAAATATATAGGATTACAAAGTTACATTTGCAGTTAATGAATCAGTCTATGTGTTATATAAATGTTGTACTATATTATAATAAATAGGCGTAGATAAGTATCTAGATATAATAATGTAAAATAGGAATCCGTTATATAATTTATATTTTAGAATAGAACGCGAATCGAATGGTTTTAGAGTTCAATCAATTTGAATATGTTTAATTTACTTTTACTTTTTACCATAAGAGCGAGCTGTATGTAGTTAATTCACGAAATGACAGTTGCTTTTCGGGCATATATATAGACGTTGAACGTTGATTGGATAATACTAAGGTATTACGTTGTAATCGTACCAAAAGTCAGGGTCTCAGTCTAAATAATGCGTTGATGGATATCGGTTCTGCAGTATTCATATCTGGTCAAGCTTACGTGGCACTTTCGAAAGTTACAAATTTGGGCGGCTTACATTTAATTAATCTCGACCTCAATTTGTGAATATGAATTGACTTAGAAGCAATTATCGTCCAGACTTGACGAAAAATGTTACATCAAAGCCTCTAAGAAAAACCCATAGAGACAGAAAATGGGCTTTGAGAAAAGCTGTAGCTGAAGTACAGGAAGTGGCACCGGAAAAAAAGACAGCTCATCATAAGACCTGTTGGTATTCAAGAAGTATAAGGTACCTGAGAAAAAAAAGCAGGACTGTCTACAAAAAGAAATGAGATGCCATCAAAAACATAACTTGTAAAAAAACAAGTCTCGCAACTCAGTTCTAAAGTTGTGAGATCCATGTTATGCCAAGTTGGTTAAATTATTCAGTCCCTACTTAAGGAACTTTTTGTCTTGAGTAATTACGGAATTACTCAAGACAAAAAGTTCCTCAAATAAAAACGAAACTCACCTAACAACATCTTATACTGACCATATCAATATTGAAAATCTTGTATATACAGTATATACAGAATGAAAAGGAGATACTTATATTAAATTTAGTTTTAAGCTTAGAGAACCATGCCTTTCCAACCAAGAATCAACACCTTTGTTTAGTTAAGTTACAGATCGTGAATGATTGAATATTTGTTTTTTTTTTATAAGATCTGTCGATGTATATTTGTTTTATCAACATGCTATTTGTATCGGCAGATACACTTAATTAAAACTGGTTGAATGTTTTCCACTATAAAAAATACCATTCATTCATTTCATTCATTTTTCGTCACATCACTATGAATTTCTGCCTATTATTTTTACATTCATTCGTGATTTCGCGCCTTTTATTTTGATTATTTTTTATACCAGAATACCTACTTACTTTTTATAACTTAAAAATACTGGTATATGATAGGAAACACCATGTTTCAGCCATGGCCAGTGGCCAAGATCGTTTTGGCGGAGGGTTTGGAAAGTCCCGCCCTCTCCAGTGGTATATGCTCTAAGTGTGTTTGTATATTATAATGCCGCAACTTCACTTGGCTATTTGTAAACTCAACAACAGTCGTCATGATTTATACTGATTATAAAGGATAGACCAAAGGATAAACCGCCAAGTTTACAAATAGAGAACACGAATAGTCAAGTAAAATGCCGGCATTATTTGCTTTGTTATTTTGACAGCCAGTTGTCCTTAACATACTTCATAGAGAGTGAAAAGGAGAGACTGTTGTCAAGTTTACACAGCAAATACGATAGCTATGTGAAGTACCAGGAGCAATAATTCCATGGCCAGGAGACATACAAGTACAGTACGTCCATGGTCCTCACTTTTTATCACTTTTCCACTTTTGTATCTGTCTCTGTATTCTGTGGTGTGGTCACAAACAGCACGTAGTATCTCTAACTAGTCTGTGCAAACAGCTGGCTTTATCATAAATTCGTTCGGAGTTGAGAGTTTTGCAAACATCATAATTTAGCAACGTTCGTTCAGGAAATAATTATTAGTAGGTACTTTTAACTATTAACTCATCATCGCTTGTGTATTAAAAACATTTGTTTGTTTTTTGAACTTTAACCTTAGTTTGTTTGAAGTGTTAAATTTTTTGTCAAGATTCGTTAGGTACGCAGTAAATAAATACAACGAAGTTAGGAGAAAATGTCCAGTGAAAAACCTAGCATGGGTAGTTCGCAAGCTTTACAGCCTGCTGACGATGAGAATCAGAAGTCTTGTTGGGTTTGTTTTGCCACGGAAGCAGATGACCGCTTGGCTGCTTGGGTTCAGCCGTGCAAGTGTATCGGAACCACAAGATGGGTAAGATTGTTTCGATTCCACATAAAATTAATAGATATAGACTTATATTTTCCGTTGTTAAGGGCGAATTGGACATATTATGAATCGATGTTGCAACACGCGCGTAATTTTAGATCCTGTTGAATGAATTGACTCTTGAGTTATTCATTTGAAGCAGGACATGCATTTCAACCAAAAAAAGTAGGTTACCTACGTACTTTAAATACTTATGCTTTTTTATGTATTTTACTCACAGAGGCTTAATGTTTACAGTCTGATGGTATCAGAATTATTAACTTTATGACTTGATTATCTTTGTACAAATAGTTGAATTTTGAGTTGTATGCACAACCAACGAAATCTTAAGTTCTTTACTATACAGTATAACTATTACTAACATCTGAAATATGAATGACTTGTCCAGAAGATTTATTGATTCATTGTGGATGATTTACACTGCATTACAATTTTTAATGATATAAATGACAGTAAGACATATTTAAAATGTGTTTAATTATAAACTAAAAAGAATATAAAATAAAGATTGGATTAAAGACTCATCAAGCCATTGTCCTTCACAGCAAATACAATTAACACTCTTTGTATTTAATGTATACCTAATATTCAAATAGAATTAGATTATAATTATAGCCAAAATTAACAGTAATATTAATCATTCAACAATGCTGGCTTATCAAAAATAATTAAAAAAATGGGTGCGTGTACTTATGTAGGCGCGTGAGAAGTTACCCTTCTTTGGCATCGTTTAAAATTAGTTTTTAATTGCATGCAAATAATTAATTACAATCAATAAAGACACAGTCAATAAAGTTCAGTTTTAATTTGAAAAAATAAATAAATAATCAAAATATTCAATTAAAATCGCTACTGAATATAATTTATTAAAACATATGTGATTTGCACTTGTATGAAACTCAAACACGTATTCCGAATATACAAACTAGAAACATGTGGATAAATATTATAAATATGAATACCTATAACTGTTACTTTATTACAAAAAATAAAGATGTGGTTTTTGGTTCTACTACACCAATGGTCAAGAGATGGCGCTGTAGTCTCCTGAATCGCGCTTTGGTTCCGTTGTTCCAGATTAATAAATACTTTTGATAGGCCTTCACAATGCAGTCGTTAGCACCCACTAAATAGAGATTCTATTTCTATTTTGTTGGTAGATTTTCTTAATGTGCGGTAAACACAAAAGTAACGCATGAAGTTGGTCGCTAAAGCGACCATCCATAAAAGAGGCATCCTTTTTTTAGGAAAATGATGCAAGAATTTAAATGCATAAATCTACTTAGCCAATATCAAGCTGGAATCAAACCAGTATTCTTTCAAGGTGAAGGAACTGATTGCTATGCTACCAAGACGTTAATGCATAAATGTGTCAATTACTTTAAGTATATCTTAGGCTGCAAGGCAGCTCAACCTCTTCACACTGTAGGTAACCATAGTGTCAATTGAAATATTTATTACAAGTACATATTTTGCTGTGGTTTTATTATATTTGTTTATGCATTAAACTGATAGATTTTCAGCTAGAAAAAAAACAATTCAATTAGTTTCTGGCTTGAATTTTGTGTTGCATGTATAAGTATGTAATCCACTACCATGTGAGATATGCAAAATTTAAACTAAGGTGGGAAATTTCCAAAATTAGATGAATAATATTTCTTCTTATTATGAAAAATCTATCTATAAGATGGAATAAATGATTTATCATCTTAAAGAGATAAAACGTTTCTATGACTAAAGATATTTGTTATTTTTCCAAGGTTTATGTACTGACAGGGTTCAACACCTTCAACAAAGAGTTTCATAAAAATTTATTACATTTATAAAGAGCTAGTATATATACTAAATATAGTATATCCCAGAGTTTGTCAACTGTCCATAATAAGGACTTTGTCAAAAAAAGCCTGTGCATCACCAGCTCCATCTCCTGACTTTTGTTCGAATAGTTCAAATTTCAATATACAAGTAATCATATTATAATATAACATGATTATAGTATGAATTAATACACTGTTTACCTACAAAGGCACTGGTCATTTGACCCATACAGTGTGTACTAACATAAACATTATAGTATTGCAGGTAAATCAGAATATTTATATAATTTTCCTATGGCCATGGTTGTTAGATGTATTGTCAATTTGTTATTGTCAAGATTCATTTTTTTTATAACTTTCGTTGCTCAAACAGTGTTATTTAGATTTTATGCCATGTCTAGGCTTAGCAATCCTCAAATTTTAGAATCTTTACCTGAAGCTCAATCGGACAGTGAGGGTGAAGATGTTGAAAATCAACTTGCTATCGAAGAAGAGGCAAATACTCCCAAATCAAGCTGTCCAAGTAGTGATCATAATAAATCAAGTGACAATACGCCACTAGGTATATCTGCATATCTAGTCAAATGCTATAACTGTCCAGTTGTTTTTCTGAAAAGATAGAATCGCCAGATTGGATGTATCGCCAGTCGACTGGCGATACATCCAAGTGATAAGATGTCTCTACGAAGCCGCCACCATGTCTGTCCAAGTACAGAATCAGCAAACAAGTCCCATACTGTTGCATTGTGGAGTGAGACAAGGGGACGTTATTTCCCCGAAATTGTTCACTAATGCAATGGAGGATATGTTCAGCGTCTTGAACTGGAAAGGACATGGCATCAACATCAATGGCGAACGCATCTCTCATTTGAGATTTGCAGACGACATCGTCATCATAGCAGAAACCCTGCAGGACCTACAAAAAATGCTGAATGACCTGGCTAAGTCTTCTTTACGCATCGGCCTACGGATGAACTTGGATAAAACCAAGGTCATGTTCAATAAACATGTGCTACCGGAACCGATTGTAATACACCTTGCCGCTCTCGAAGTTGTTCAAAAATATGTATACCTCGGGCAGACATTGCAGTTAGGTAGAAACAACTTTGAGGACGAGGTGAATAGAAGAATTCAGCTAGGTTGGGCAGCATTTGGGAAGCTACGTCAAGTCCTGACATCGTCGATCCCACAGTGCCTGAAGACGAAAGTCTTCAATCAGTGCGCCCTACCTGTAATGACATACGGAGCCGAAACGTGGACACTGACGGTACGGCTGGTCCACAGATTCAAAGTCGCTCAGCGCGCTATGGATCAGAAATGAGGTAATCCGACAGAGAACCAGAGTCATCGACATAGCCAACCGGATTAGCAAGTTGAAGTGGCAGTGGGCTGGCCATATTTGCCGAAGAACCGATAACCGTTGGGGTAGACGAGTTCTAGTGGAGACCGCGTCTAGGCAAACGTAGTGTAGGACGTCTCCAGGCACAATGGAGTGACGATTTGCGCAAGGTGGCTGGCAGGAGCTGGATGCGAGTAGCCCAAGATCGATCTGAGTGGCGTGCAATTGGAGAGGCCTATGTCCAGCAGTGGACTAGGATAGGCTGTTGATGAAAAATTAAAAGACTAACATAATATTTATTACAAATCATCATTTTTACTCTTATTCAGTAATCAAGTTTGTTCTAGTTTCATATTATATTAAATTAATCATAATTATACTATACTCCAAGATTATGATGTTATCAACTATTTGTCTAAAGATAATAAAGTTTCGCCGAAACTTTTAATAACATAATTGTAATTTATCAGTAGAAACTAGATTAATTTATGTTCAATTGTGATTTACTGGCACACTTCCCCATTAAAAACTAAATCAGGTAAACAATTTAATTTAAATTAATTATATATTACATAGTCGCCAGGGTATGATGTTATATTCAATTATTATATAAAGTAAAAGGTGAAAATACCAAAATTTGTTAGTCAACTCCTGGCCGTATTGCGCACTCATTATGCCAGACGAAAACAGTGTTTGGAGCGGGATGTCGCTTTTGCTTCTGTGATGTCTTAATCTAGCATTAGAACTTGCTTAGTACATACTCATGTGCTAGTATTAAGAGTTCACAATAAAGCCTATCCTGACTAAGTAGACTGTACCGAACGGATAGAAAATAAAACCTCGGGTTCAGTGATATACTCTATATAATTTTCCAATCAATATCATAGAAAAACAATCATATTTAAAAGTAAAACAAAATGTAAAAATCAGTAAGTATATAAAAAGTATAAAAATATAGCCACCCGGCGACCCGACACGACCAGCACCGCCTCGGCACGGTAATATTATCTATACAGTATTGTGACTCGGCCCTGTCCTTGAAATAACTGCCTACGGCCGAGCGGGGCGTACACACGCGGTAGGGCTGCCAGCCTTTAGTATTTTCTAGTTTTGTGATTGTAAATATTTTATTTTATATGTAAAAAAAATGTTGTGAATGAATTAGGAAGTGTTCAATAAAATACATGTTATTATTAGGTAAGATTTATTAAAAAAAATATATAGATTTGAGACAGAAAAATATTTACTGACGACTGAGACGTACGAAAAGCTTTATTATTAAATTTAGTAGTATAATAAATACGCATTCGTATAAAAAGTTTAATTTAAAAATACTTTAGAGAAACATAGGCATGGAGCAGAAAAGGGAATATCTTTAACTTGGTTATATATACCTGCAGCTACTTTACAATTTGATATGTTTTTTTTTATTGGGTGCGTTATTGAAGAGTTCAAGCAACCAAAAACAGCACAGTATAAAATATAATACAAAGCGCACGTTTAAGCACAGTTGTGCAGCACAGTTGTCTGTGCTTAAACGTGCGCTTTGTATTGTGAATATTTGATTAAATTAAGTAGATACCTACACAATTCAGTATGGCAAAGAGCAATAGTCGATATTGTGCTGTTTTTGGTTGCTTGAACTCTTCAATAACGCACCCAATAAACAAAACATATCAAATTGTGAAGTAGCTGCAGGTATATATAACCAAGTTAAAGACAACTGCTTAAAAAACAATTCACACCGTTCGGCCTTCTCTGCGGCGTAGCATTTTTTCAAAAAAAGTTTATTATTTCAGGTCCATCAAAGCTGTCTCCAGAGGTGGGTGGACGAGAAGCAGCGAGGCAATATAACGCGCAAGGTGCTTTGCCCCCAGTGTAAGGCGGAGTACATAGTGGTGTTTCCATCAATGGGCGCGTTCGTGGCATTACTAGACGCAATGGAGGAGATCACCCATAAGATCTGCCCTTTCATTGCTGGCGGTGTCCTCCTGGGCTCTATCTACTGGATAGCTATCACATACGGCGCTGTTACTGTTATGCAGGTAAGAATTATTATTTACCATGGCAGTATAATGAGTAATTAATGAACAAATTAATCTTTGATGGCAACAACATTGACAATGGTGAATAATTACAGGATTTTATTACGTGGCTATATTGTTTAATCAAACACTATTGTAGACTACGAAAAGACACACCTTTGAGCAGAATGGTGTTCATTATAAGTAAAAATGGCTGAGAAATGTTTATCAAACCGGATGTCCAACGCACATAGTGTGTGGTACACATAGTAGATACGAGTACAGTAAACGCCGCGCATTGGCCGGTACCTGTTTCATTCTTTCATGACTAACGTTGTTTTTAATCGTTATCATTAATGATCAAACCGGAATAAGAACTGTTCAATATGACTGATATGAATTAAAGACTCCATGATTTATAAAGTTCGCGGCAACTTCTTGAACAAACACAGACAAATAAAATTGCGCAGTAGACGTTTTTGTATGTATACTTTATCATAAGTGACCCTCATATTAAGCATAACAGATAAAAATTATCTTGTAAAATACGTGATCAGATGTCGAAGCTCTTTCTTGTTTTAATGCATAATGGCCGTGTCTCCACTAGGTTCACAGTTCGCGGCCGACTGTTTGACTCTAGTTCGCCACCCTATATATTTTTAATGGAGTGTCCATACAGCAAGTACTGTACTCAGATTGCGGCGTTTTTTATTTTATTAATGTAAATCGAGTGGATATTATTTATCAGCAAGCGCTATAATATTTTTTGATTATAATGCCTTGATCACACGTACCGAGCAAACGAGCGAGAAAGTGCTCTCGGCCGAGTACTCGGTTCGTATAAAAAGAGCGCCGATTACATGAGTTTTTACTTCCATCACTGTCTCGGCCGAGAAACATTTTACTGTCTCGCCCGTTTATTCGGTACGTCTGATCAAGGCATAAACGAGCGCGAAAAAGGGAAGTCAAGTTTTATCTGTTTTTCGGAAAATGAACACAATGTCACCTTTTTGCCTTCCAAGCAAGTGTAAACCCTTATTTATAAAATTTAAGTTACTAGCTTTTGCTGTTGTTTTTTGTTCTATAACCTTCTAGTCCGGGAGGTAGCGTTGCAAATGCAAAAGTCATAGTAAGCCGGCTGATATTAACGTCGATAGTTGATATTATATGACTAATAAGTGAACCGACCGTCAGCTGCTCAAGTAGCGGTGGGTGCGGGTGTAGGAGGCTGCGAAAGAGGTAAAAAAAAAAAAAAGTAATAGTACGCTGGCTGAAACTTTTTCCATAAATAGTTGATGTCATACTGAGCGAAAAAAAATCGTCAGCTGCATCGTGGAGGGGGGATTATGCGTCAGCTGGCTGCATGAATTTGTAAAAAAAAACGTAAAATAAAGTTATAATACGCCGAATGAAATTTAACTACGCAATTCTTCAAAATATTTAGAGTACGAAAACAACAATCAGCTGATTGTGTAGCGGTGGAAAGACCGTCAGCTGACCCCGTCAAGATTTAAAATTTTTGAGTATTGCTGTGAGGCTGTTCGCTTTCAAACACATATTTTGCGATACATTCTGGCCTTCCTTGAACCCATAACACGACCTTCGGGCTACCTAAGCCTCTCCCCAGTGTTGCCAACTCTACGTCTTTTTACGTAGATCTACGTATTTTAGGCCTTTTCTGGAAACCTACTAACTTCAGTCCCAGAATCTACGTATATTCTTAATTTTTTTCAAATTTTTAAAATAACTTAATTCACTAGAATAAAGAAGAATATTTTCCGTTAATTTACTTAAAAACTATACAAATGTTTATTTCTTATAAAGATGTATCTAAACACTCTTCTATCTTGTAGAAAAGGTTCCCGTTACCTATTGGTTTTGTTGACTAAATTAATGCTGGCCTCAGGATTTGTGAAAGCAGAAACGACAAAACTCTTTGACTTAGTAGGTACATTCATAACCTTAAAATTGTATTTTTAAACTTTTAATATTATCAATGAGCACCTACTCACATCGAATTGATCTTTGCAAAAAGAAAAGACTTTCAGTCGATAAAGTTACAGGATTTAGCAAGTTTTAAGCATATGTTCATGTGTAAGTATGTTTATTTCTCTTGGCAATTTAAACCACAACTTTTCTGGAGTCTTTTTACCAAGTGTATCATGATAACTACTATATTTTTCATGTGATCTATTAGAAATCATGGTTTTATAATATTAACTTAGAAAGTTTATTTCCTACGTGCTTGCGAGTGTTTGTTTACAAATGTTTTGACGTCATAGCATAGATAAGTCTATAGACTAAATAGCGTTTTTGTATGTCTTCTAGGTAAAAATATTTTTTTTTTCGTTGTGATAGAACAATTATTACCAATTTAAAACATAATTCCAAAAAGTGTCAACTAGTTATCATATAACAACAGTTTATCCTTGTCATTCTCTATACAGAATGAAATATATATATATATATATACATACATATATATATATATATATATATATATGTCGACGATGAATAACTTTCGCGATCTTTTTATTCCTATATTTCGATTTTGTTCATATTAACTTTTAATATATTTTGGGTTCTTTTCATTTTGCCCTCGATTTTCTTTTATTTAGTTACAAATAAAACGAAACGAAAATATATCGAGAAAGATTCTGTCCATTGCTAGAATAATCTTTACCTTTACTGCGTCAGCTGACGGTCTTTCCACCGCTATATACGCAGCTGATTGTTATTTTTGTACTTATGATTATTTAAAGAATCACGTAGTTCAATTTCATCCGACGTATTATAACTTTATTTTATGTTTTTTTTTTACAAATTCATGCGGCCAGCTGACGCATAATCCCCCCTTCACGATGCAGCTGACGATTTTTTTTGAGCTCAGTATGATGTCAACTATTCGTGAAAAAAGTTTGAGCTGGCGTACTATTACTTAATTTTTTATTTTTTTTTACCACTTCCGCAACCTCCCAATTCCACACCCACCGCGGGTGCGCCAGCTGACGCTTGGTTCAGTTATAAGTAGTTCGCGATAAATAGTAAAGGAAGGCAAACAGTCGGCGTAAAATCACTGCCAAAAATGCAACGCTACCTCCCGGACTATTCTCATTATATGGTCTACATTATAAGTATGTATGTCTTGCATAATATAACCGACGGATACACGATAGGCCCAGAAAATTTAGAAACTCAGCAGGATATGAACTTTTTTGTTTCGGGTCCATGATTGTAAATATTGCCAGATATCTACACAATTTAGGGTGCGTTCCCACAAAAGTGTAGCTGTTCGGAATTGAGCAGAACGGAGCCGTGTAAATAGGCAAGTGTTTCCGTTGAAGCTGTGCTTATGTGAGCCGTGCAGAGCCGTGGATGCATTTTATTTGCGGAGCAGATAAGAGATGTGTATTTTGAGCAATGCGATTGGTATTATCTTTAAGTCACTTGTCAGCTCCGCGCCGCTACGCTTATTTCAAAATCGCTCTTGCACATAAATATTGATTTAAATTTTGTTGAGAATCCAACCAGATTTATTTGATGATTTGGCGTTAAATTTATTTGTATTGTAGGGAACTTTAGCTATAACTAATATCCAGTCAAGACACGCAGTACACCTAGCCGGAATAACATAACTAATCGAAAAAAATGCTTATAAGTGTCTGATAAAACAATGTAAAATGTTGCTCAGCGCCATCTACATAATTGGTTACTTTACCATCCTATTCCACTCCCTATTACAGTAGTTTGAAATGATCTAATATGCATACTTTATTATCTAATTATGACCAACGAATCTGCAAAGTTTTAGTTCTTGTAGTTTCTAGTTACAAAGCTGTAGTTTTATTGCACCTTCTGAAAAGTTACTCTTCCCTCATATCTGTTTAAATTTATGATAATCTACGTAGCGATTTAGGTGTAAAAGCAAAACAAACTAATAAACTAACTCACTTTCGCATTTATTATTAACATTAGTGAGGATAAGGTTTATCATCATCATTAGGCTATTAATATCCCCACTGCAGGTGCACTGGCCTTCCCTAAGGATGGAATAGGAAGACTGGGCCATGACCCACCACGTGGACCCAGTGCGGATTAGTGGCTGCTAACGACTGCAGATGCAACCGTTACCAAATGCTTAACGTGCCTTCAGAAGCACGGAAGAGCTCGAAATAATAAGTTTTTGGTCATCCATCCAATGACCGAAAATCGCGAAAGTTGCTTAACTTCCACGAGCGCAGGCCGAATGCGCTAACCACCTGCGCTGCGCCATCGAGCTCCACAAAGGATTAGAATAGTCACGGTCTATTCGTGACTATAATTTATACAATAGCCGCTCTGAATATAATTATTTGTCCTTGACGATGCACATCTGTTGGTTGGCACTTAATCTTATACTTCTCAATCCAGACAATTTGATTATATTTATTTGTGGTTTATTGAAGTCTGTTTATACGTATGTACGGTACAGTATATTTTCATTTTCCATCCTCAGTTGGTAGCGAATGTAAAGATAGAATTCGTCAGCTCTATACCTACGTAGAGATAGTGGTATCGAAAAATCGCAATTAAATTTTTAAGGTCCACTTGCAGCAATTTTGCTGAATCTCTATTTATACTAAAACTAGATATTATTATATCCCATGAAAAATTTTCAAAACGTTTATGTCAATTTGATATTATTGTATGGGATGGGGTATATCTAGATAAATATTTATTAGTGGTAGGGGTAGGTTGTAGCTTTTGAGCATATTTGGACTCGGTGAAATCGGATTTACAATAAATTATTTAGATCTAAGAACACCTAAGTTATGTTAATTACTAAGCCTGAACAAGGATACCCTGTGTTTCAGGAAAAATATGCTAAAATAACTACATCTTGACAAAAATTATAATATTATGTTATTTAAAACAAAAGTTTACTAAGGCTAACTTTAGTAAAACAAAATACACTTTAAAATACTAAACTGTATCTTTATAGGATAAACTTAGGCAATCATGCAGAATATTTTTGGCTTTGT